TCTCTCTTGTGTTATTAAACCAGAAGCATCAACAGTAAATTTCATTCACTCTTATGAACTAAACCATTATCAGTTCTGTGATTTTTTTTTTTTTTTACTCTGTCACCCTGGGTAGAGTGCCACCGTGTCATAGCTCACAGCAACCTTAAACTCTTGGGCTTGAGTAATCCTCTTGCCTCAGACTCCCAAGTAGCTGAGAACACAGGCATGTGCCACTACGCTCTGCTAATTTTTCTATTTTTAGTAGAAATGGAGTCTTGCTCTTGTTCAGGCTGGTCTCAAATTCCTAAGCTTAAGCAATCCACCTGCATGACTTTCCCAGAGTGCTAGGATTACAAGCATGAGCTACCACCCTGGCCTAGTTCGTGATTTTTTTCAGAAACAAAAGTTGAATTATTTCTGACTTGCCCTAACAACAGTAAATTAGTGGCTTAGCAGCCGCAATTTTTTTTTTTTCACATAGAGTCTCACCATGTCGCCCTCAGTAGAGTGCCATGGTGTCATGCTCACAGCAACCTCAAACTCTTGGGCTTAAGCAATTATCTCATCTCAGCCTCCCAGGTAGCTGGGACTACAGGCGCCCGCCACAACACATGGCTATTTTTTGGTTGTAGTTGTCATTGTTGTTTGGCAGGCCTGGGCCAGTTTTGAACCCACCAGCCTCAGTGTATGTGGCTGGTGCCATAACCACTGTGCTATGGGCACCAAGCCATTAAAATTTTATTGAGACTTTGAGTTCAGAGCTGAGATTGAAAAGTTTCAATACTCGACCACTAGTATTGAACATGGAATGGTTTTTAAAATCAGCTTTTGCTATAGACTTCATAATCCTTTTCTTCCCCCATAATGTTTCTTAATGAATTTAACCTAAAATTATAAAGCAAAACGGTACTTACTTATACATGAAACTTATACTGCAGTACAGTCATTTAATGATAACTAACATTGTTTGAATCACGAGCAACGTCAAGTTCCTTTAGTCACTTGTGTGGAGTCAAAAGTTAAAACAGAAATAGAAATTTGCATTCCCACACAAATTTGCTGTGGATATATTTCCTGAGCTTAAATTACGGTTCTAGCAGCAGTTTTTGGACCCCGATGCAAATGCAAAGAAAATTTCTATACAGTATTTCAAAATCACTACAAAAAATAAAAATTTAAGGCTCGGTGCCTGTGGCTCAAGTGGCTAAAGCGCCAGCCACATACGCCTAAGGTGGCGGGTTCAAATCCAGCCC